TGGCCACAACTTGATAGATTTTTATCATTGGAGGGTAACCATCCCATCCAATTGCAGGATTACAACTATTACCAAACTCATACTAATCGTACCAAGTTGTACTGATTCTTTTTCTATTTCTGAGAGCTAGTAAAATAAAATATGTAGAGATTTGACCCTTTGATTGTTTTCAAGAGCCAATGTAATGAAGATGCGTAGAAATATGTAGCCTTTTGCTTGTTTCCAGAGGCTAAGCAAAATAGTAAGTTTGGCCCTTTGTAAATCATTAGGAGCTATATAGATGTAGTAGAATTAGCTCGTTATCTAGGAACTAATGATAAAGATATGTACAAGAAATGTCTGGCCCTTTATCTATCACCAAGAGCTATGTAAATGTGATAAAATCAACTAATTATCCTTTGATCAGAGCCATGTATATATAGCAAAATAGGCTCTTTATCCATTGTTGGGAGCCAATTATATCAACAAACATAGCAGTGGAGATCATGACCATAACAAAACGTCTAGCTATGTCTATGAGAGTGATATTGAAGTAGATCATGTTTGTAAAATTTCCAGTGAAGTAGATGAATGTCAGTTTTGGTGAAGCTGATTCTATTGTGGCCATTAGCAAGAAATAAAATATAATAGATCTAATGTAGAAGAAGATCATGTGGGCCCTTCGTAGTCACAAGTTTAGAGCCAGTCTTGTTGACGTAGCACTGCATATATTGTGAATTCCAAAGCAATATAAATTCATCCCTCAACAATTCCTTAACAAAGAATTTGCATTTAATTCATATCAATATAATTATTATTATTATTTAAAATTTCTTATTTTCTCTTAATTCACTTTACACCCTAAAATCCATTTAAATAAGTATTGTAATACTACAAGTTTATGCTTTTAAATTTACTACAAGTTTTGGGTAAAATTAGAATAAAAGTATTAAACATTATTTAAAATATAGAGAATAACAAGTTATTCAAAATCATAACAAGTAAAAGGGAATAGAGAGAGCAAATTGGATGTTGAAAAGATTACATGCCACAAGTAACCATCAAATGTTTTATTGCCTTATTATGTATATAGTTATATAAACCATATAGCGACATTAGTTGTTGGGATCATTTATTTTTTTAATATTGAATTACTTTTGGTGATAGGTTTTTGTTACTAATACCATGTTGGCTTCAAGTTTTCAATTTCCAAACCATGTTAAAATAGTTTATAGTTACCAATGCCTTGCCATTATATTATAAAACCCAAAAATTTGAAGAAAAAAGTTTCAAAAACATTTTAAAAATAATCCTTAAAAATTTTGAATATCTTTCAACACAAAGAGGAGGAAAAGGAGGAACTAATCCTTAAAATTACTTAGCACCACAACAAAGAGAGAAAGCTTTGAGGGGAGAGAAGAAAGAATGAGGGTAAATATTCAAGGCAATCAAACAAATTAACTCAACACTTTGAGTGAATTTTTTTTTTTTTTAATGTAAGTTTAGGGTATTAAAAGAAACTATAAGGTCTTAAATTGGATATAGTGAAGATGTTTGAGGGCTTACCACTCCACAAACCGATCCAAGTGTTTATTGCTATCTACTGCTCACTCCACAACTGGGTCTTTACTGGGTTGGGCCTTTATATGAAAGTGCCAGTAACTCCCTACGCACATCCCACTTTCAGGAAGCCTTGGCCTTCTTTCTTTTAACAACAAACAAACAAAACCTCTGAAATGTGAGTCACATTGCTTGACTTGAGGGTTTGGGTTTCTTTTAAGTATTTCATATTTCTGTTATTATTATTATTATTACCCCTTCTTCTTAGTAAAACAAAGGACTTTTTTTTTTTTTTTAATTTCTGGCCAAATTTTTCATATTCAGTAAGGTTAGTTTAATAGTTTGCTCTGAAAAAAAAATCATTATAATTATTATTAGGAATTGAGAAAAATAAGCACATCTTGCTAATTGTTTGTGAAAAGACTCAAAATGCATTGTCTGTTTGGGAACGTGATATTTATGAAGTGTTTTTGAGTTTAAGCTTTTCAAATTCAATATCACCATCTTGTTTTCATTAAAATGTTGTGTAATTGAATTTAAGTCAAATACATATATTTCAAAATATTTTCTTTTATATATATATTCAATCTAAATAAAGAATTTTAAAATACATGTTAAATTGAAATTTGCATTTTCAAATGCAACTATATAAATCAAAATGTAAGAAATATTCATTGAAAGATATTTAAATGATTTTACCAATAATCATGGCGTTTACATCTACATTTTTTTTACTTTTCTCTTTATGTTATTAATATTATAGAGATATTTCAATGTGGGCAATGTTAAGCTCACACAAATAGTTGTTGGGGCCACATAAAATATAATATGTATGTTTAATTTGTCTAATTCAATTAATTTATAATTATTAAAGTGTTTAAAAATATTAATTTATATATTAATTTTAAATTATTAAATAATAAAATATCCCTTGCTCTTCTTACTATCAATTAATACATAGTTACATGCATCGCACTTTCCCATGTGTCCAAGTGGTTACGTTTATCTGTGTGAGAAGTAAGGTGGAGTGCAATATATGATTATCAAGTCGACTCTTCAACTAGTATTCAAACAGACACTAACTTACTAATCATGTTTTTTACAATAAAAAAAAAACAAAAAACAAAAAACATAGTTTCATGCATGCATCGATCAACTATTTTCAATATTAAAAATAAATATAATTATATTATTTTTGTATAACCTTGCCAATTCATTGCGTGATCATAAGTATAATCTTCTAGTATTGTTCATGTATGTAATGAAATAAATATATAATAATTTCCGGAGTCAAGAAGAGTGTGTAAGTTCTTAGACTAAATTTTAGCAAGAGCATGGTTCCATCAAAGTTACAAAGTCAAATCCAAAAACTAGACAACATTAGATTAGGTAGAGCATGTCAATTCACAATTGGGACCGTAATTGTAATGAAAGCAACAGCCAGCAGCAGCAAAACCCTCCAAAAAAAAAAAAAAAAAAAAAACCTTGCAAGCAAGTACCGTGCAATTAATTCTGCAAAATCTTTCTATAATTTAATAATCTTCAACAACATAACTGAAAATTCAACAGCAGCACACACGCACAACTTGATCCTCTTTTCCTTTTATAAAATCAACAAAACCAAACTCAATATATATGAATTAACATCCTAACTTGGAGGTCCAGAACAACGTACCAAACCATAGCAAACGGCATCATTCTCTTCTAAGTACAGTCCATCAGGGTTCCTGAAAACCGCGTGGACCCCACAAACTAAGCATCCAACGCCGAACCCGATGACCAAATTCTCCACCACGCCGCACACCCACACTGCCAAGACCGAGACGCCGACCAAACACAAGAGCACCCACCGATCGGGTATGCTATGGCCCCACAGCACCAAAGGGTCTTCTCTGAACAAGTAGAGGAGGATCCAGAGCGCAATGATGACGGAGAGGAGGACGAGAGAGAACGGGGCGGTGAGGAGGGATAAGGCGCAAGCGGCGGCCACGACGAAGGAGTAGTTGGCAAGGAAATAGCGGAGATTGGAGCGGGC